GCAACTATTGATTGGCAAATATTACTGCACAATCAAATCTCCATGATAACTTGACAGTTATTTATTGAAGTAAAAGCCGCCCTGAATTCACCTACACACATAGCAACAATACAACAACTGGAAAAATGAAACTGCCTGAATTGAGGTTAACATTTGGTGATCCCAAGAGATACTGAAGCCAGGATTCTCATGGATTCTCCATGTAGGCCTCGACATCTGCAAACAGGTCACAAAGCTAAAAGACTCTGCTTCACCCAATTTACTGTATATAAGGCTGCAACTGATTTTGTGAAACAGGGTCTCTTACTGTGCACCACAGGTCCAAGTGACATTATACCTTCAAAAAAGTTTCAGCTTGAAATGAAGTAGGGATAAAATCCTATGATTGTTGCATTATGTGAAATTTTGTGAAGATAAGAGTGTGGTGCCCACTGCTAAATGGCTATACTTCTCTAACACCGTGGGCAAAACAATGTTGCATACAGGTGCTGTGACAGTCTGTTGCTGGCCGCAGTGACTGCGCATGACTACAGGAATGCCACAGACTGTCGCAACACTGTTTTGAAACAGGCTTATGCCCATGGTGTAAACACTGCCAGCATTAAAGAGGTTCATTGATAAGTATTAGCACTAGGATGGGAACATTTTTGAGAGTAGAATGGGTCATGAAACCATCTTGCAGTGGCCATCTGATCAGAAAGCACATGTTACATATGTGCAACCATCTGAGTGAATACTCAGCTATCATCTACATATAGCTCTGCTCAGTTACCTGCTCATCTGGTTGAGAAATTCACATGTAATATGTTCTGTAACTTTGTCACAATTGCAACAAACAGCCCAAAAAATTGACTACATATATCCCAATGGCTACTGAGGAAATACTTATGAAGATGTTTAGCAGTAACAAATGGGGAATTTGGTTCCTGGGACCCATATTCCCACCCGGGAATCTCTTTAATGCTGGCAGTGAAAGACTGACAGGTAAACTGGTTGCAGTGGTATATTTTGTGAGATTAGAACAATGAGAGATGATAGCTACAAGATTTCACAGCTGTTCCTTGATTGGTTGCTTCTCTTTAAAACTTTTTTTGACATTTTCATCACATTTTGCATTTTTCTTTCTTTTTGAATTAAGTCCCAGTAGGTCTTGAACACAGTCTAAAGTACTCAGATAGGCTCTTGGATTGTTGTACAATCTATCTTTGTGAGGTTTGAGTTATTTTGGTTGCTTGAGATCTGTTAAACTTCTTGGTACTGTCACTGAATAACTTAGAAGGCTAATGCTCTACGGAAATCTTAGGTATTATTGGGGCTAACATCAATAATTCATTGTTACAAGCACTTTTGTGGCACTAAAATGCTCCCACGGAATATTCAAGAACTGTAGGAGGTATCCCTGACACAAGAGCAGATGGTTACAAAAAAAAATAATGTGCAATTTGTTGAAAATGTTAAACAAGTTTAAAAAAGTTGTAAGTGAAGCAACCAATCAAGGAACGGCTGAAGTAGTGACAAAGTATTGTAAAAAAGTTAGAATACTTAATATCTTTCAAGTCAAAAAAGAACCATATATTCAAAGACAGTGAAAAATGAGTATCTGTCAATTAGACAAAGTGATACTTGTTGTACTCCGATATTGACACTTTTAGGAGATTGGGGGCTGGGGGTTAGGCTTGGGGCATAGAGATTTTGACCCCACTCAAAGGTTATGTGTCATTACCTCTGCTTCAAGTCATCATCATTCCTCCCAATCCTGGATCTCACCACAATTAGAGCTCACAAGCAGTGTGGCCTACATACCCTGCCGTGCAGCATTCCATTGCTGTTGCTTGCTGCCAGCAGCAACAATCTAACAGCCTTTCCTAATTCACCAACCTACTTTTAGTTGCCTTGACTGTGCAATATACATGGTCTGGTGCTGTGTTACTCAGAATGGATAAAGTGATTTTCATTAGGTTAAGAAATACATTATGCTGCATTCGCATCAACCGTCCACTGATGATGCTACCCTGCTTGAGCCATCTGTGAACAAACATAGGATCTACCTCCTATCTGGATTGAGTTGAGTTGAGCCCATATCATGGCTGTAGTGCCCGCCGCCCAATTTGGCCAGTTCCCATTGACAAGACAAATGGAATCCAACAAGATTTACAAATGCAAACAGAATCAACAAATTATTTATGGGGCAGAAGACGTTTACACCAACTCATTTACACCAAATGTTTTGGTGTAAAAAACTTCTGGTGTAAGAATCATATCAAACCCCCCTGATGTTTAATTTTACACATGGTACTTATATTGTGTGTAATTATGTAAGGTGGTGTGTAATTATTCTACATTGTATCTTTTACACCAGTTGATCCAGTGTAAGGAAATCCGGTGCAAAAGTCCAGGTCTTGTGTATTTGTATTTTTACACTGTATCTCTTACACCAACTCATTTTTTCAAATTTGAATGAATTTCGATGATTCACAAAGAAGCATTAATACCAAAAGAAACAAAACAAATAACTACCACAACAAAAGATTGAGAAGCGCAAAAATAAATAAATAAATAAATAAATAAATAAGGATTATGAATAGTGAAGGGAAACAAAAAAGAAAAATGATACCAGGCAAGAGAGATAGATAAATAAAAAAAGAATACCAAGACATAGAAATAAACCAAAAATATTTCAACAAGAGACATGAAATTTGAAATAAATACAAAGGAAATTAACAAGAGCCAAGGAAATTGATCTTTAAAATGAATCAATAGAGGAAGAATAGAACATGACAGAACATGTATACCATATCTCCAACTTCTTCACAGAGGTGCACTTCTTGGCCGCTGCAGCCTTGCACTTGGCTTAAGCTTCAATAGGATCTAACAGTTTCTTTGGTGGATTCTTTTGGCCTTCTGAGCAAGGAATGCATCAGCAAATTTTAACAGCAGATAGACCTGAATTTTGAACTCACTAGGTTTGGCCTTTTTGGTCTCCACAGGTTCTTTGTCTTCTGGTTCCACTTTGCAATAGAAAGAAAAAAAAGTCCTTTAGTGAATGTAAAAATAAGCAAAACAAAATTTAAAACTCACATTTGTGTCACCATTGCTATGCTGCAAGGACATCTAGATCTTTCAGTGGTCCATCACATAAATCATAATTGTCTTCAGATGTAACAGAATGAAAATCAGGTACGAGGGAGACTTTTATCTTAATCTTTGGATTTGATGATGTACTGAGTTGACTAGATTGACTACCCATATGGGTTTCACACTGGCTGGCAATGTGAGTTGAAGTTGTATTTAAGAAAACAAACACATTTCACAGAATGTGATTTCTGGACATTCAAGAACACACTTTGTCACAAAAGAGTGCTTAAGTGAATGTGCCCTTACTAATTTGATAAGTATTTTACTGGCCTTCTTTTGAAAATAGCTAAATAAACCACAAAAACATTCAAAAGATTCAAGATACCAACATTGATTTTTTAAACCATGATCAACATTGTGAGGTTGCCTTTCTGAAACACAACATACAATCTCAACACATTATCTGACCTTATAAGATCATTTAAATACAGAAAACCAACTGTTAGGTTGAAACTCCATTCACAATATCAGAGTTTGTAAATCAATTTAATCTTTGTTTGATGAACCCATGTTGCATGTCAAAACCAGACACAGCTTGAATTTGTGATACACACTAAAGATGATTATGAAATACCTGTGAGTTATCAGGTAATCAGCTCTATGAAGCTGAGGAGCTGATCGAACAGAATGAAAACAATACCTGTGAGTTATCAGGTAATCAGCTCTATGAAGCTGAGGAGCTGATCGAACAGAATGAAAACAATCTAATGGTAAAGAAGATTGTGAACAAAAAGATGTTTGAGTTCGATTTCAATAATCATCAACTAAATAAGAATATAACCTACACCTGTGAGTTATCAGGTAATCAGCTCTATGAAGCTGAGGAGCTGATCGAACAGAATGAAAACAATCTAATGGTAAAGAAGATTGTGAACAAAAAGATGTTTGAGTTCGATAAAGAGAAAAAGCTAAAGTAAACAGCACACAAAAGCTTTATATAACGAAATCAAACACTATGACGTCACAATGTTCTTTTACAATCACAAGTGTAAGATGATGTAACAAAGAATCATTAGATCACTTAATAAGCTTATAACTTGATCTCAATTTACACTTGACAACTAATGCCTTTTTACCATAACAAACAATCACAGACTATGTACACAAACACGTACCAGCTTTCCCTTCCTTCCGCCTTAGATTGGGGATTGGACTGTCACTGATGCACAAGTGCCAGCATTTTTAGGTACGGGCAGAGATTGGTCGCGGATAATACCCAGGATCATTTCAGTCTTAAACGGGGTTTCTGAATTGGATTGAAAAGTTATTTGGTTCAATTAGTTTAATTTTGGTCATGCATCATATGAAAGATTTTTAGATGTGGATGTGTGTCGATTGAGGCTTACCCTGTGTGGTACATATTTGACCAGCTCATTGACGTCCTCATGATCTCCTCACAGTAGAACTGCAATAAGAGATGATGAGGAAGCACTTGATTGGAACACTTCTGAGAAGCATCAGGCACTTCTATGTATGCTGGGCAGGCTGACAGCCAACCTTTTACTGGCAATCAAGTAGTGACTACTCAAACACAGTGATATGTGATTGCTAACTCGAGGAACAGTAGAACAACAAGCAGGATGGAAAACAAAAACATTCAACAGATGATCGTAAAGACTCAGTACATAAGAAATGGACACATGCACGCTGGGGTCGTGAAACAATGACTGGATTCGATCAAGATTCGAATAACACGACCAGAAATGAAATAAAAAAGAAATCGTTCATATTGCGAGCACAAGATCCAAAGGACATGAGACTAATGAGAACAATTCAAGTGTCAGTGTTCGTCAATTGTTGGATATCGATCAAGAGGTTAACCCACATATTCCGACCATTTCGAAGGAACTCAATAATCGCTTGATTTAAAACCAGCTGAGCCGATTGAAGCCGGTGAAGTTTGGAAGCGTCACACCTGGGGCAATCCAACCGCGGTTGAAGGTGTACCATTGATTCTGACGATACACATAAGGTGTGTTGTTTATGAGCCCGATCGGCCATTGACCGTTGACTCTGTAGTGTCCATTGACAAAGCTAATCTGGGTCGGCCAACCTGAACCCCATTGGTTCCATCGCTTTGCCAAGATGGGTTCAACAGCAGCTACGGAGTAAAGAGATTAGTAAATGATCACGACAATCAAATCTATGCAACCTTACCTTGCTCATTGGCCACAGCTAGAGAAGAAAAAACGAAAGAATCAGCCGGACAATCTCGAAAGAAAGCTTCAGTGGTGGCTCACGTTGTCCTAAGGTAGAGCCAACGAGCGCAACGAGAGCAAGCAGGGTAAAGAACTTGAGACCGAATTGCATTTTGGTAAAAAAGTTATGATGGTTTGGTTGTTAGAACGTGGTAGATAGACCGAAAGTACTGAGTTTTGTGAGTGAGCTTGTGGTTGATGGAAGATGTGATGGTCTGGAGAAACAAAACGCCCTACTCGACCTCTCCTTATATACTCGAGCTGAGTGCGTGCGGCCGGTGCTCGTGACTTAGCATCCCCTTCGAAGCTGCAGCTAGAATTGCTTGTCCAAGACCTTGCAATCGAGCTTGGTAATCTCTAGTTCCGTCCGGAGCACTGCCATGTTTCTCATGAAGGATCAGTCATGTTCCTTGGTCTGATTCATGACTGGAAAAGTCAGAGGAGACATATCCGCGTACGCCTCCTTTGTTGAGTTTATATTTGTCAAAGGACTTTAAAATGAGTGCGGTATAGTAAGGGCCTGTCAACAAGAAGCGGTCGGGTTTGTAGCTGTTTGTACTCATCTCATTCTTGGACTTTCATTTGGGCTTGACTTTCTCATTCAATCATGTTCGAATTCGCTTGGTATATGTCTTGGCTTAGGGCTTTTCGCGAGTGTCAACGCTTTCTTGGATGATTCGGATCGGAATGAGCTCTTTCAATTGACTCCAGTTTGGTAAAGTTGATTGAGAAAGACGGAAGCATTTTATATACCCTATGAGTATGTACTTGGGAAGCCGTAAAACGGCGGTTATGTAAATCTCGGAGATCAAGCCCGATTTGCGTCACCAGGATATGTCTGCTCTGACTTTTCCAGTCATGAATCAGACCAAGGAACATGACTGATCCTTCATGAGAAACATGGCAGTGCTCCGGACGGAACTGGAGATTACCAAGCTCGATTGAAAGGTCTTGGACAAGCAATCCTCCCTACAACTTCGAAGGGGCTACAACTTCGAAGGGGATGCTGGAGTCACGAGCACCGGCCGTACGCACTCAGCTCGAGTATATAAGGAGAGGTCTGGGAGGGCGGTTTGTTTCTCCAGACCATCACATCGTCCATCAACCACAAGCTCACTCACAAAACTCAGTACTTTCGGTCTATCTACCACGTTCTAACAATCACACCAGATTTTTTTTACCAAAATGCAATTCGGTCTCAAGTTTTTCACCCTGCTTGCTCTCGTTGCGCTCGTTGGCTCTACTTTAGGACAACGTGAGTCACCACTGAAGCTTTCTTTCGAGATTGTCCGGCTGATTCTTTCGTTTTTTCTTCTCTAGCTGTGGCCAATGAGCAAGGTAAGGTTACATAGATTTGAATGTCGTGATCATTTACTAATCTCTTTACTCCGTAGCTGCTGTTGAACCCATCTTGGCAAAGCGATGGAACCAATGGGGTTCAGGTTGGCCGACCCAGATTAGCTTTGTCAATGGACACTACAGAGTCAACGGTCAATGGCCGATCGGGCTCATAAACAACACACCTTATGTGTATCGTCAGAATCAATGGTACACCTTCAACCGCGGTTGGATTGCCCCAGGTGTGACGCTTCCAAACTTCACCGGCTTCAATCGGCTCAGCTGGTTTTAAATCGAGCGATTATTGAGTTCCTTCAAAATGGACGGAATGTGTGGGTTAACCTCTTGATCGATATCCAATAATTGACAAACACTGACACTTGAATCGTTCTCATCAGTCTCATGTCCTTTGGATCTTGTGCTCGCAATATGAACAATTTCTTTTTTATTTCATTTCTGGTTGTCTCATTCAACTCTTGATCGAACCCAGTCATTGTTTCACGACCCCAGTCTGCATGTGTCCCTTTCTTATGTACCGAATCTTTATGGTCATCTGTTGAATGTTTTTGTTTTCCATCCTGCCTGTTGTTCTACCGTTCCTCGAGTTAGCAATCAGATATCACTGCGTTTGAATAGTCACTACTTGATTGCCAGTAAAAGGTTGGCTGTCAGCCTGCCTAGCATTGATAGAAGTGCCTGATGCTTCTCGGAAGTGTTCCAATCAAGCGCTTCCTCATCATCTCTTATTGCAGTTCTACTGTGAGGAAATCATGAGGACGTCAATGAGCTGGTCAAATATGCACCACACAGGGTAGGCTTCAATCGACACACATCCACATTTAATAAACCTTTTTTGAAAATCCCAAGGCTTCATTTCTAATATACATTTACCAACCTCGTATTGTGGATAGCAGACGCGGATCGCAACTTGTACGAGTATGTCAAACCCGGTGTGTTCCTTGGTCCCATCCCGCGTGGTGGTGCTTGTGTCAAGCTAGCATATAGACACGGGCCTGCTCACAAGCTCGTTTTGTTTACGTCTGGGCTGCGTATTGGCTCTAATGTTGTATGATGCGGTTGGTATGCATGTATATATGACGTCATCCGTGTTTACACACACTTTCTTATCTTTCATTCTCTTCATAACCTTTTACTGGCCTTTACAATTGCACTCAGATTTGGAAGCGGAAAATAGATCATGGGCTTTTTCTATTTCATTGCATTACAACTGCATCATCATGTCTGGTGAGCTGTTCATCGGTTTAGAATTCTCCAGATCCTTTGAGATTGATAAGAGACTTTTATTCATCAAAACTCGAATAAAACCATCAGTTACATCTTTGATCATACAAAACGGAGCAAAGCTACAGAAAACACGAAAAATACACGATTCTAGTGATCAAAAAAAATCATTTTAAAACATAAACCCATCAAATTTTCAATCTTTTGCATTCTCTTTCTTATCTTGATGAGCCGTTTTAGCCTTGGCTACAATGGTCTTAGTATCTATAGCCGCATCTGGGTCTGTACCTCTTTTAGAACTATTTATTCTAGCTTCATCCATCTTCTCAGGTATAGCCTATGTCAATCAAATAAGAAATCAAGTATGTTAACTTTCAATCAAAATCAAATATAGATGAGATCAGATCAAATTTCATCAAGACTTACTCCATGTTCTTGTAAACCACCCGTTGAGGTTTGTTTACCACTGTGTGATTCAGTAGATTTGACCATCTGTCTTAAAGCTTTATCTCCATCACCTACAAAATATGATCATTGAAAGTTCACTAATCTTTTTCAACATCGACTTACAAAATAAGGTAGTTTGGATGATAACTTACCATGAGGTCTACCTTCACCAGCAGGACTAGAAGTCAAAACTTCAGAACTACCTGCCACCGGAATATGTTCTTCTTCAAAGCTTTGTTTATGTTCTTCATCATTAGAAGGTAAATGTTGAACAGGAATCGAACGAGTATGTACATGATGCGCATGAGTCGTTCGATCACCACCCGAAAGTAAATAAGTAAGAGTCGACCCAAAGACTACAGTAGCACCAATCTGAAAAGAAACGCCGTAAGAGATTTCATCAGTTTCTGATTACCATTTGATTGGATAAGTCATCGAGTAATCCAATCGACTTACAATCCAAGGTGTATCAGATGATTTTTGATGCTAAATAGAACGAAAAGGTTCATAGAAAGAAATAAGATCAGCACTTGATTTTCCATGATAAGTTTTAACTTGATTTGGAAAAGTCAGATTGTACAAACTTGAACACTAGATGAACTATAAGGTTGATGATGATGAGGTAAATTAGTTAACTTGAACTTTCTAATTTGATGTAGTTTAAGAATTGCATTTCTGTTCATTTTGTTTATTTACTATCTGATTTTGATTTAATGTTATGATGAGGTTCAAGTTAAGAATGAGATAGGTAGTATTTTGTGCTTTGGATTCAAACTCAGTGTTAAGAAATGCTTTGAGATTGATTTGAGCCTGAACAATGAAAACCAAAACCAAATGTCTCTTAAATTGTCTGATTACCAAATTAACTGAAGATGACGTCACATTCAAACCTAACAATTTCAACATTTCATCGGTCAAATTGAGTGAAACTAGAAATTGCCTTATGCGTTTCTTCAAAGCTCCAAGCCTAAGATAATGCATACTGTGAAATGCTGTTGGAATAGTCCCCTCTCAGTCAGAAATGGCATCCGGATCACATTTGAACGGTGGCTCAGGTGATCTGCCTGCAATGCGACTCAACAAGTGGGACATTCATCGGTGGCTATCTGGGCTTGGAAGACTAGTAGATGGGTTATTCCCAGAAATTACTATTGCCCTTAAGATTCAACATGTGGGAGGGAGGCAGGTTGGGCTTCTTGACATCGATAGCAGCACAAGGTGTTTCAAGTTTCACGAGGTGCAAGATAAAAAGGTTCAACACCGAATACCGGTAAGGGACTCATTGGAAGATCCGAGGTTGGCCACTAAGCAGGGACCCAAACACTGACTTCAAGATAAGTCTCCAAGTCCAAGCCTGAATTGAGGTAGAACCTATCCCATAAAAGCATACGGGGCATAGTACATTTGAAAAATTACGAAGCGAGTGCATGCGGTGGGGAACGTGAGGGTGAAAAGATCTCATAAAACATGATTTTCAGTGATTCAATCAACATTCATCTTCTCTGGTTTTTCACCTCGATCCTTTCTGGCTAAGATAGCCTTTCGGTCTTTATCAAGGTACAATTTGGAAATCACACAATTTGAAGGATGAATTCCAACTTGAACAGTTTGACCGGATGCCTAATTTAAAATGATTTGTACAAAAAAGAGGATTGAGACAAGTTAGAGTGATGATCAAGGATGATTGTAGAGTCAATGATGAGATATCAAACTTACCTTATCACGGGTCACCTTGTCAACATGGATCACATATTTCTTTCGGTAAACAGTGAGTACTTTTCCCTCTCGTCCCTTGAAAGCACCTCGGACGACGGTCACCTCATCATCTTTACGGATGGGCATGGCTCGAACCTATTCCAACATTTCATCAACATCTGGAGTCCTTGATCTTCATGAGAATGTCATAAAACCTACTCGGTATTGAGCCCGGAGGTCTTTTGAGAGAGATGAGGACATGATAATTCGCCTCTCGTGGGATGGAGCCTGGAAGTGGGCCTTTCGCGATTTACGTCGCGAAGACGAAACATCTGACAAAGAACAGGTAACATGAAGATCAGCTTGATTGATAACAGCAGCTTTGAGGTGAATCGGGTGAGGGGTCTTTCGGAGTATCGAATGAAGAGGAGTCGATGGACACGAAAGTTTTCTTCAAGCAGCATAGAGCATTTTTCTGCAAGATCATTTGGTTGCGGGACGAGTGACGGCGAGTTTCGACTTTGGCCAACCGAGATAGCGGACAGAAGGAAGTTCAAAGACGTGTCGATTGCAAGGCTAGTCTTACCTTTTGAAAACTTGGCCATCGAGTTATCTTGCGTCGAGGTGGGCCGTCGTCGAAGGGGTCTTGTAAGTCGGAAATCGGGTCAGTGGAGGGGGTATCAGCCAATCGGTGTGACCACCCTCTCACAACCGATACATGTGAATCGAACCCTAATCTCACTAAACCAGACCTATCTATCGCTACCACCGGACCTTGGCCCCGATACATCCCAATTTTCACCCTTTCGTTGATTATACTCGATTCCCATACCCCATCACGATCCTTTGAACTCAACTATCATCAACCTCATTAATCCTTCAGCAAAGTGAGTCAATTCGATGCGTTAAATTGAAATGAACCCAAAACTGAAGTTAAATGAAATTATCATTTTCAGATGGAGAACGATCAAGGAATTGTCGTCGACTTATACGTCCCACGAAAATGCGCAGCCACCAACCGATGTTTGTTCATTTAACTTAACCCTTCAAAAAAAAACTCGATTAATTTTTGGACTAAAATTTGCGGGACTTTTTTTGTCATTTTCAGTAATCACTGCTAAGGATCACTCATCTGTCCAGATCAACATTGCTGAGGTTGATGAAGAAGGCAAAGCCATTCCTGGTCAAAACGTCACTTACGCCCTCTCCGGTTTCGTACGAAGAGAAGGTGAAGCTGATGATAGTATCAACCGATTGGCCACCCGGGATGGTCGTCAGTCTCTCAAATCTTATTCTTGAAAAAATTTATCTTGAAAGCTTACATAGAACTTATTCTTTTTTTGATCTTTTGTATCGTATGATTTTAGTTCTCAAAAACGTTTGGTCTGCATCAAAATAATTGTTTTTTGACATCACGGGGAGTCGAGTTGCTTGTATCACAAAATATTTGCAAACCAGTCTATTCAGATTTCAGCTTTAGAGCATTCTATTCTTTTTATACCCAAGCAAGACCTACAGAATGATACTTGAACTACACTTGCTTTGAGTCACTTGGTCAGCTGAGCGCGATCCTTCAACAAGAACTCATCATGTGGTAGCGATCATAATCCGGGAATTATTTCCTGAATGATTGTCCAGATTGTGGTTCCGATCCCAATGGTCTCACGAACCAACACGATTCTCTGAGAAACTGTGTCTTTGTATAATCTTGGATCCGGCTGAACGTGTAGACTAGAGCTTTGCTCCATCTTGATTTACGTAATCGGCCTTTGAGAATGCTCGCTTGAATACTCTTGACTTTTGCGCACTTTCGTAAGGACAGTGAGCAGAAATTATGTGCGACTTGGCCATAAAACCTGCCCGTCCCTGTCGGCTTATACATATGCGCTCTGACCAAGCCTTAATCCGCATATGTTGTGGAACTTGAGTATATGCGTATCTTCGACACCGTTTGAGATGATCACTGGTCCAGTGATATACCACACAACTAACTATCGTGGAGTCGCTAGTGTACACTCCGATGTCAAACTAAAGAGGAGGACGAGGGGTGATGTCCTGGTGTGGTATTTGATTGTGGTCATTGGCTGCTGTGTTGAATCATAATCCTTACATATGAGTCCTTATGATTGGCTTAGTTATATCAATGATGTCATTCGCAGGCTGAAATACTGATGACATCATTGGCTGTGTTGGCTGTGTTTCTTTACCACTTACTCAGGTTTATGATTGAGATGGTGAAGTATAAGTTCAATGCTTTCACTTATTTTCTTCCTTCTCTTCACCCAAATCAATCCTTCCTTGATGTCACCATCCATTCTGGGATCTTGACACTTTGATCACCTGTGTCATTCATCCTCTCTCCTGATTCATATTTGAGATATTCATTGACTACAAGCATCAATGCTGGATTTGTTGAGAAAGCGAAATGCATGGTGACTCATATGTCTGGGGTAGATTCTATACGACGAATGAAGTGTTAAGGCTGTATCAGGGATATCAAAGGTGCACTGAACACGTCATCAAATCCGGTGAAAAGAGCCTCGGCCACTTTGAGTCCAGAACTTGGTTAAAATAAGAGGCGCGCCCCGATGAATGTTTTCTCTGGGACAAAGGCTTCTTTTGGTCATCGACAGCCATACCAGGATTCAAAAACTTCGCCGGTAACTCGACATTCAGAATCAAGGCCTATCATCGCTAAGCAGAGTCAGATCTAACCTTGATGAATCAAAAGCTGAAGAAATCCAACCAGCAAGAAGGTCGCTCATATGCGAATCGTTTGGCTATTGTTCCAAAACCTTTGATGGATAGGTCTCAACAAAGAAGGCAGTTGAGATACCGTGATCTGATGAAGCGCGTTGAATTGTTGATACTCAGCCCGAATCCTTTATATGTAAGCCTTTCTCTCCCCAACCAATAATTGAAAGTCGAAGATAACCGAGTAAGAAAATGGATATATATTGGGCTAGGAAGAGCAAGAATCATCATCACAAGCAAAATAAACTTCCGAGCATCATCAAAACCTATTCGTTCAAAAACCTTTCACCAATCAATCCGAATCAAGCTTTTAGCAAAAACTACATACAATCTTTCGCTTGTAAAGAAGGATAAACACAGCATGAACTTTGGAAACTTTCCAGTTGAAATCGTATATTCAATATTGACAGAAGCAGTACTTGAAGGTGATAAGCTTATAGTCCAAGCCGATAGATTACTACAGAACGGCGAGGCAAGAGATAGTGAGTAATTGAACTTGATCGAGTATGAAGAAGATGATGTTGACCAAGATATGTATCTTTAAGATCGCGTTCTTCCTCGCCTTTTACTCTTGAACAAGAATCTTTCTCAATTTACCAAAGAACTATTGTGGAGGGTATGTCAGATTTTCTCATTTACTTACTGTATACGTCTCTTGTTATAAATAACTGATGTTACCCTGAATTCCGATTTGATCGTATCTAAAAAAGAGAATTGGATTATGTAGGTTAGATATGAGTGAACCGATCCCTATTGATCACTTCACAACGTTATCTGAATTATATCAATCTAAAAAACATCATACCAAATCTATCAATGTAGCATTGGAATTCGCACGATATGAATTAGATGAACCGACACCTCTTGAAGTACTTCAAATTGCCAGCGGAATCTTCCAGGCTTCTCGACTTAGTCCAATCAATGAAGTGGTCCTTTGGATAACAATTCCTGATTTAGCTGAAAACACAGTCGAATTTTGGTATCACATTCATCCGATCTTGGAGACTACCACTGAGTTTGGGAATTTGACTAAATTGGAATTTTCGTTTTCTCATACTTTTTGGGAACAAGAAACAACATTAGCAGCAGTGATATGTCTTTTGAAAAGTCTTGAAGTAATCAAATTATGTGCACATAAAAAAATAACAGAAGCAAGAAGACCAGAATCACAAGCAGCCTTAGGAAACAGTCTATCATCTTTAACTAGGCTCGAGTCAATGTCACTTGAAGGACTCAAATCACCCAATCCGAAATGGACTAAACTAAATTGGAAATCAAACATCAAAAAATTATCAATTACAAATTGTAAAAGCTTTAAAGACTTTTCATCATTGAGAAGCTTTTTTAACTTGTTTCATAAAAGTTTGATAGCTTTAAGATTTAATGCTGACGAGAATGATTGTAGAGCACTTGAAGATTGTGGGATTTTGAAGAGTTTTGAATCACTTCAACAGCTTACGATTTATCAAAATCATCATCGAAATATATCAATCCTACAACAATTTTCAATTTGTCCCGCCATCAAATTTATACATTGGATAGTCTCTGATCCACATCCATCAAAGGAACAGATCAGAAGTTTGATTTTTGATTTACTGATACTAAAAAATTATCAAAATCGTTGGAGAAGTCTTCGGTCATTAGTCTTACCTTCAAATTTTGCAAACTCTCTTGATTCTTCAACTTATGCAATACTTGATGTACTTCATATACTTTGTGATAATTATTCTGTTAGATTGAGTTATCTAGATGATAATGAATATGATGTGAAAAAGCATTTAAAGTTTTACATATAATACTTGATTTTTATTTTGTATATATTTCATAGAAGCATTCCATGTATATCTCCCCCCTGTGATCATTTGTATCTGACTCTTATATTAATAATCAATTCTTGACATTGCAGCACGTATACAACTTGAACTAAAATTCTAAAATTCAGAGTGGTAGAACATGATGTTGGTTGAGGTGAATAGGCTCTGGATAGCCGGTAGGGCATGAATTCGAGTCACTGAGAAGATATTGTACAACATGGGAGCACGGTCACTGTCAAATGGCTATCTCTCAGCAGCCTAAATATCTTTTGTATGAGTAAAAATCATGCTGAGCATTTGTCGAGAGATGTTGATTTGCTTCAACAAAGAAGGATAAGTATTGTTTATTGAAGTTCATTATATCTTGACCTCCAAAACGGAACAAATTCCTTCCTACATCCAAGACTAGTGAAAGTTTTTCATACTTTGGATCATATTGGTTTTCGTTTAATAGAGTTGAAGCCATTCTATCCCCTCGGTTGCTTCTCAGCTGTATCAGGGGCATCAAAGGTGAACTGAACAATTTTATGAAATCACATCAGTGAACTCGGTCAAGACAACTTTATAAGAATTCAGACGCGTGTGCTGATGAAGGCCTTTGTGATCTGGAATAAAGGCGATGTTTGGTCTTCGAAGGGCAGTACTAGGAATCAGACACTTCGCTTCGTAAGTCGATACTCAAGGCCTATCATTGCTCAGGAGACTTTGAGCCAACGATGATGAATCAATTACTCAGAAATTGCTCAAATGCGAGGCGTTCGTCCAGAACCTTTGATGGATCAATCTCGTTATAGAAGACAGTAGAAGTACAGTAAGCTGATGAAGCGCGAAAACTTGTTGGTACTCAGCCTGAGTTCTTGATATAACAGCCTTTATGTTGCTGATCAATAATCGAAAGTCAAATATTAATGAGTAAGAAAGTTGATATATATTGGGCTAGAAAGAGAAATATCGATCATTATCGAGCAAAATAAACATTCAAGTATCATCAAAACCCGATCATTTCCAAACCCTTCCACCAAGACATCCAAATCAAGTTAGGAAATAATTGTTCACTTTTCTTATTTAAAAACAAACAAACAAGAAAACAAGGATGAGCTTTGCAAACTTTCCAGTCGAAATTGTACATCTGATATTATCAAAAGCAGTGCTAGAAGGTGATAGGCCCATTGCACAAATCAATAGATTGCCACAGAATGGCGAGGCAAGAGATAGTGAGTGATTGCACTTAATCGACTATGAGAAAATGATTTTAATTCAGATATATCTCTTTAGACATCGTTCTCGCTCGTCTTTTACTGTTAAATAAAGACCTTTCTGAATTTCTAAAAGGAATAATGTGGAAGGTATGAAGCATTTTCTCATTTTGTTTGTTATATATTTCCTGTTAGATTTACTGATTCTATTCTCAACTTCTATATGATGTTATTAAATTAAAGAGGATTGGATTAACTCGGTTGAATAAACGTGAACCAATTGCTATTGATTACTTTAGAAAGGTATCTAAATTATATCAAATTCACAAACATTATACTAAATCGATCAATATATCATTGAGATTTGCAACACGCGAATTGATTAAGCCGAAACCAGAGGATGAGGAATTGATTGATATTGCAAATGACATATTCAAGGCTTCCCAACCTGATCAAATCAATGAAGTAATCCTTTGGGTGGCAGTTCCTCCTACACTTCCTTCAAGTACCATCGAACAATTTTGGGAACGCATTCATCCAATCTTAGACACTGTCACTGGATTCAAAAACTTGACTAGATTTGAATTTTGGTTTTCTCGAAGGCTTGAAGAAACAAAATTAGCAGTAGTGATCAGTCATTTAAAGAATCTTGAAGTTGTTAAATTATATGCACGTCATAAAGGATTGAAATCAGTCGAAGAATCAGAATTTCAAGAAGACTTAGGAATCAGTTTATCATCTTTAACTAAATTGAAATCACTTTCACTTGGAAGACTTAAATCACCTAATCCAAGTTGGATCAAATTAAATTGGAAATCAAATATCGAAAAACTGTCAATTTTCAAATGTAAAAGATTTCAAGATTTTTCATCACTGAAGATTTTTTTTCATTTGTTTCATAAAACTTTAAGAGCCCTAAGATTTGATGTTGTAGAGAATGATGATAGGATTTTTAAAGAATGTGAGATTTTGGAAAGTTTCAGATCACTCAAACAACTTACAATCTTTCAATATCATCATCGTAATACATCAATACTACAACAATTTTCTATTTGTCCTGCAATCAAATCTATCAATTGGGTAGTGTCTGATTTACATTCATCAAGTGAACGAATAAGTAGTTTGATCTATAATTTACTCATAACTAGAAATTATCAAAATCGTTGGAGAAGTCTTCGTTCATTGACATTACCTTTGAGTTTTGCAGTTTCTATGGACGATTCAACTGATACGGTACTTGATATACTTTGTAAGAAATATTCTGTTAGATTAAACTATTCAGATCATGATGGATATGATATGGTATAAGTCTTTGAAGTTTCACATTGTAAAACATTTCTTCCCTGTGTTCTATATACTTATTGGTTGTCTTAGTGAAGGATTTTATGTTTAAGTATATCACCCCCTGCTGGCTTGTCTTACTGATTGTCAATTCATCCTTGACATTTTGTACTGAATAGTAGCATGAAAAAAGTGAGCTACATCTGTTAATAATCAAAGTGCTGGTTGAGGTGAATGGATCATGGATGGCAGTTGAACATGAACTCACGCCACTGAAAATGTAATGTGAGCAGGATGAGTGAGAAGTGGCTTCTTGTGCATCTTAGCAGTCTGAGCTTTATCTTCAGGTGCAAGGGATAATGCTGGTGCCTGGGCATATGTCGAGAGATGTGGCAAAGACACACAGCCAGGTGTGTTTTTTTTGGAGAAACGAAACCCAGATGATTGAACACGATGAAGATGAAGCTTTGCACTGAGGGTCAAATGATGACAGAGGTTTGGGAGTTGACGCATTGGGGTTCTTATGAACTTTGAGCAATTCGTTGCTATCAATCCAAGACAACACACAAATCCTACATATTTCAAGTCATGCAAATATGTACGTCTTTCACACCAGCAAATAATAAAATTAATCAAACTGATGCCTGCAGGTGAGAAAGCTGCAGATAAGCCATATCTCAACTCAATTTTCTGATGATATTGGAAGACAAATAGTACAACATTCGGAGTGGCAGTGATCGCTTGGATCAAATGATCAGATCACGTCGAGAACCTCAAAATATATCAGGCCATGAAAAAAAGTGAATCTGCAGAGTGTTTTTACAAGTCCAATACAAGTGACAATTGACGAATAGTACAAGCGGTTCAAAGACTAGGGCGACCCTGAGTGTACTCGAATTGACTGCTCAGGTCCAGGTAGTGCGATGGCACCCTCCCTCGTTGTAGGATAATCGTCTCTTAGGTGTGGCGTAGAGAAATAGACCTGTCGAGGTTTACCCATAGTGGTGCCCAATGTGTTTCCATCGAACGGGGATGGAAAGTATAACAGATAGGCAATGAGAGCCGAAGATATACCGATGAAACCACCGGCTAGAACATCAGTAGAGTGATGGAGATTATCCTGAAGGCGGGTCACAGCAACTTTGAAAGATGACGAGAAAGGAGAAAGTAATTTTTGGTTAATTAGAAAACTTTCATGGAGTGCACATGGCACCGTAGAGAATACGTACTCCAAGTTGCTAGCACCAACCACACTACAGCTACCAAACCCTTGAGCAGCCGGCTTTCCAATGGACCCGATCCACGAAGTCGATCTCCACCAAATGCAAAGGCACCGTTCCTCCCAGCAATCCACAATGCCAAAAAGCCTAAGCCAGAAAATGCTTCGGCAGAATGACCACTGGGGAAGCTCTTCATACCCTTTTCGATCAATTTAAAGTTGGAATGATGAGCTATACAAGTGTTGGTGGTAACTGAATAAGAGCAGCGCGAAAAAAAGTCAGGTCTCAAACGTCCTACCCAAACCTTGAGCAAGTCAGTTGGATAACGTGCGATCACATGAGATGCCAAAAGTCCCAAGAGAGAGAGATGTAGTGTAGGAAGCAAATGAACGCCTCCTGTTGGATAGGAGAGTAGAGTCAAGATGATAAGCACCAAGAATGGTAAAGTCACAGAGAAATGATGAAGCCATTCTTCGGAGATGCTGTTGTTCATAAAGAGTGACATTCGGGTTAATTGAGCATTCGATTGTGATATGAATCGATGATAGCTTACTGCTCTGGCTTGAGTATTCCATGGTACTCAGGGCTAGGGAAGTAGATAGAGAGATCACGTTGGAATGGCTTGAGAGGAGTTAAGTAGATCTGTTTGGAAGCATCAGATCGGTCTGCGAATATTGAACAGCAGCGGATGAAGCAACTCGAAGTTTGTATCTCTACTGACTTTTTCAAGAACAATAGCAGCCAGTACAACTGCCCAATCGACAAGATAAGCAGGGCAGAACCAACCCGACAACGAATGTGAGAGGGAAGTCCTAAAAAGTTGATATAATGATGGACGAGGTGCAGAAGTGATAGGTGTGGATCGTCCGTTCAAAGGATTAGCCTCCAAATCATCGGGAACTTCAGGTGTCGGTGCGGTGGTATGTTGAGCTTGTGATGTTGATGGATTAGGATCCATTGGTCGAAGTTTTGCGGAGTAATAGGTAGGAGAGGAAGTGAGAGCATCCACAACGGTCCACCTACTTTGCGAGCCCTGGAACAGACCCCCGATCCTGATTTTGTGGATGTAGGGGGTCAAAAAAACAGGTGTCCACAGCGGTGCACTTGAAGTCAGGGGCCAGAACTCGATTGAGTGATATGGTATGCTTGTACCATATCATCTTGTTTCGAGTGCGGTTTGAGACGTGACTATATCGGTCACGTGGAAGCAGTGGCACGTGATATTGGGAGCCCCTATAGACCTCGCAGATGTGGGGGGTCCGGATGGAAATCTGGAGGCCCCCGACGTCTCACCCCCGATTGTGCGAGCTCCGTTGGAGCGTTTTTTTGCGTTTTGACCCCCTACATCGCTGGGGGCCCGCAAAGTAGGTGGACCGTTGTGGATGCTCTGAGTGCCACTGAGCATGGATTGGAGAGCACCACCATGTCAACATGGAAATAAGTTCAGCCACCACTATGTGCAACTTAAGCGGACTTAAGCAGACTTAAGCAGACTTAAGCTACCCTCAGAAACATAAAAAGACAAAAAGTCATTTCCAAACGTTTGAAGACACATTCACCAGCATTCATAATTTCATCTACACCAACCTACATCATTTGTTTTTATTCAAGAAGCTCTGAGATCCGAGCAACGGCCTATTCCATTCTGATCTTGAGAGATGGAGTGATGCGATCTTCATTCGGTCCCAATATCAACCCGGGTACAAAGCACAGAGAATCGATTGGGTCATATCCCTTGGAATATCGAAAGAGATTAGGACAGATTTCAATGGCACGAGGGGAAATCTTTCTGGGAATACCACCCACAGTGGCGACTGTTTTCCCGTTGAAAGTGTTTTGCAGGTGTTAAAATCACATTGATCGAGAGCGTCATCAAAAGTACATTGTGAAGCTCTCGGGGATCATGCAAAGGTTTTTACTTTTCTTGGACTACTCATGTAGAGAAAGGAGAGGGCCAACTCGCACGAAGATTTTGGATCGTCCAACGGGGGGATCTGAGGCCCCAGAACTTGAATTGAGATCGAACATACCGGGAAATGAAGTAGATTTTAGAACAGAAACGACACAGTCGACAGAGTCAGCTGTACTTTGAAGGTCTTCAGACTCGGAAGTGAGAGTTGCTTCCAGGGCATTGTTAGAATCGAAAGGATGATTATCATGATCGGAAGTACAAGCATCGAGCATGACACATTTCAAGCTTCTAAGGATGGGACGTAAACCAAGACAAAATTGAAGTGAGGCGATGCATCTGACGTATTGATTTTAATCGCGTCTTGCAATTTACCGGGGAAGATAGGCTTTGGAGAATGGGGTGGGTCTCAAGAATTCAAGTGTTGTCGTGAAAAGTGAAAGTAGAGGTAATGAGAAAAGACTGCACCTGCAGAGAACAATGCTTGCCTTTTGTGATCGCGGGATCAACTTGATAAAGCGCGCTTAGGGCATATTGAGTGAGATTGTCTGGATTTGGTCTCCTATCTCACATCGAAAAACACGCCTTTTTCTACACTCCATCTCATTTCTTGAGTCTGTGTTGTCGGCTGGTGTATTGATGATATTTCACCGTACTCCTCCGCCATAGTATCACTTCCATCGGCTGGTTTTTTGTGTGAAACGAGCATTTTGAAACGACATCTAGGCTGTCCGCTAGTAGTATAGCCTATTGCCACTTGCAGACAACCCTGAATCTGCATTGAAACGAACGTGATTTTTCTTTGATCCCTTCAGCTAAGTTCTCGATCTTTGTTATCACCAGGGATTAGTCACTGTAGAGCAACTTGATGCACACCTAGCCCTTATTTTATTTCCCTTTTTACCGATCGCCCTGGAGGAAAACGCCGTTCAGGTTGTCAATGTGATGCGTGACACCTATAAGGTAATCAATCAACATGATACGTCACCGCGAATTCATCTCTTCATTGTTACATTGTTATACAAGCATATTTATGCTAGATCAATACTTGGACAAAAACTCTATCATCTACAGACTTGCAAGGTTTCATTCATTGCACTTCCTCGATTTCTGATTGAGCAGTTAAAACCATTTTCAATCGAATTTTTCCATTGAGGAAGTAGAATTTAGCGCTCTTGTCAGGTCAGGTTGGCCGTGACCCACAAGAGAGCGAGAACCTCATCCAGGTATATTATGATACAGAAACAAGTACAATCGTGTTCTTTGGCAATGCCCAAGGGAGCCTGAATACTAGTCAAGCCCAATCTGACTATCTATTCGGTCACAAAAATCGATCTTCGGATTCAAGTACCCTCTCACTTGTTGCCTGTGTATGTTCAATTGATCTGAAGACCCTTTGTCGTCCTGATTCTCTTCCGAGACTTAGTCAACTTGTAGACACATTGTGTTTTTGGGCAAACCATGTATTAAAATTATTATGATCGCGACGAGTATAAGATCACGCGCCATAACCCGCCCAGTGCGTTTTGTTTCAAAATTAGTCTCTGAATCTCCTTAGAGCATCTTGGTCGCTTTATTTATATTTTCTTCCAAATTTGAGCTGTGATACTTTGTATAGAACTACAAAAAGATTACCTTTGATATTCATATATACTTTTCTATCGCTGATGGAGTAGCTTTCAGCTCTGTCACACATTTGTTGGCGGATGAAATTACAACGGCTAGTTTCTTCATGATGCTCTTCGCTGACGGTGTGCCAAAATACGCACTACGTTCGCGCGGCGTCCTTATCTCACAGGAACACGGCGTCTTTTCTACCAGAAAATCGATTTAAAACGGTGTGGTTCATCTGGTGAGGCGTTCTGATCATAAGCTCGCAAATCCTCTGCCACGAGAATACAAAATTCTGATTTTCTCGTCACTCTTGCAGTGTTGTAGAAGGCATCATGGCGAATTTCGGCTCGGGTCACCTCGAAAACATATATCCTGCCATTCTGTACAATTGGAAACAACCGCTGGCAATTCATGGGCATGGACTGGTGTTAAGATTTGCGAATGATAAAGGTCGAAAGTTTATCATTTCATCAGAATGATCTGGACCCAAGTGAGAATATATACGTGATATTGGTTGAAAAGTACTCATTTTGTCAACCGCAGGACTTTTAGCCATTAGCAATCCCAAAGGCAAAAATTTAGCCAAGACTATGTGACCGTACCATTTTCAATACCCATTTTTCCATCGCGGTCAAACAAACTCTTTTGAGGCGCATCTATACCGTCAAAACACTCATTTGAAATTCAATTTATAAACCAACTCCTTGAATTAGCCTTCAATGACAATGATTACGCCTGGTAGAGTGGAAAAACCAAACGGGCCTTGAACTTGGAAAGTGATGGGATGATGATTAGATATAGCACGATAAAATTTAATTGTTGAGACATATCCACAGTCAAGATCTCATTGCTGAGACGTATGAAAAATCATGGTGAAGAGGTTGAGCCATCAAGGCTAACTACAGGTACAGTGATAGTAGCAGATAAACATGTAACATCTTTTTAATTGAGGACCACACATACGAGTCTTCTTCAAGAATGAACAGTTTGCCATACTTTTTTGCTTTCATTGATAGCCAGCAGGTCTAAGCTTGACTTTCTACCTATCCAGTAAAGTGTTTTTCCAATAACAAAAAGTAAAGATGTGTCTCAAACATGGAAGTTTTCTTCAACACCACATCATATCTAACAACTCTTCTCTGGATACTTCATCTGCTTCTGAGACCGTTATGCTGGTAGATGTGCTGTTTGATCTCAGAGATTCCTGTAAAATAGCCCCCTTAGTATGTATAAATGGTCATCCTGTGGCGTTAATTTATGGAGGGGTTTGAGCCGGGTCGAGTTAGCAAATCTGGACTGTTCAAGTTGAAGTGTGTCAAAAAGTGAGCATTCAGTGGAGGGGCGTGAGTTCATTTACATATAATTTTTTGAACACAAGACTTGCTCGTGATTTTATGGAAGCTATCTTTGGGAGTGGCATGGTAGTTAAATGACAAATTGATAGACATATTCAACTTCAAAGATCTTATTATGCGTAATCTCAAGGGCAAACCACAAGCAAATTGGCAGAGAATCCGGGACAAGATTAGTTAATAAATCCTGCAGTGCTACGATAGCTTTTGTAAGCTTATATTTTCCATATCAAAAAGGCTTCCGGGAGATAAGTTGATGGTGGAGAAACTGGAGAAACCAATCTCTAGAAGAAAATTTGAAACCAAGTTTCAAAATCCAATTCAAAGGTACAAAAGGTCAGGGAGATAGGTGGGTATATGTTCAGAAGACAGCGTCAGCTAACTTAACAAAGTCCCTCCGAGGCTTGACACCCTGTCAATCAACAAGCACAACATTAAGTAAAAAGTTACTTAACTCAACCAAATTTCGCACTCGTTTGCATTAGCAGCGCTGTAACTTTTATAACTTTACAGATAGTGCATGTACTCCGCACCGGTCGTGCAGTAAGGTAAAGTTTTAATTTTTTGAGTACACATCACCTGCTTTCATGGCCAGTTTTCATGTGATAGAGGCACTGTTCTCTTCTTTGCACTAAGATACTAATACTCCATCTACACATGAAGACCCGATATCATCCTGTTCATCTACTCGATCGATAGATCTTAATTTAAAATTACAAATTTAACATGAGTTTGTTCAGATCTTAATACATGAATTCCAATTAAAAAACAAAGGCTTTACTACATCGAGAAAGCTTTTAATGAGTCTGAATACACATAATGATCTTGTAAAAGATTTAAAGATTTAAAACTAGGAAATAAAAATCCAAACTTCAATTTTTAATTTGTATCACTTGATCCTAAAAGTCCTCCAATGATTGGTCTTTTAATGTTGATTTTCTTAAATATTGACCTCTACATAGCTATATGAATCTAGACATCTTTCATTTTCATCTGAATGGTTTGGAGTCGAGTTCAAGATGGTTGATTGACTTATTTCAATTGAAGACATCGATCGGTGTCAAACGTTCTCGAGTTGATTCATGCAACTGTAAGGCTTGGAATTCATCGTGTGTGAGTGGTGAAAAGGAGATATTGGTTGTTGACTTTGGTGTTGGAGGTCTGGTTGAGTTTCGTTTTTGGAGTCGAGTTGCCGGGAACAAGTCGTGATGTGTGATACCGCATGCGTTAGCCAATTGGTAAATTTACCGATTCGCTAACGCAAAATGACCGAAAATTAACTACCGCGGGGCTCCCTCATGCTGCGACATGCGGATTCAACTTGCTTGAATGACAGCTGTAACCTTACCGCACCCGACTTACCGCACGAGTGCGGATGCTCTCAGGCTGTTTGGGTACTTATCGATTTGGTCAGGTTTATTGAATTGTTTGTGAGTTTGGTCAGTATCCGGTCCGATTTCACCGGACTTTGTCTCCATCGATCGGGGTCGTTTTTTTTTGTGCAGATCGAGATTTTTTTTTGTCCTGCAAGCTCACAAAGAATTGTCGCTCAGATCTCGTACCTTAGTTCCACCTTGACCGCTGGTGCCTCATAGAATCCCAGTGTTTGGGCTTATTAGGATTCAGTCAAAGCCAGACCCACTGCTGGGTTCATCTAGGTTCACCTTTGAATACGACTTTGCAACGTTTACTTTTCAACTCATCAGGCGCCCAAGCACATCATGTTATCTTCCCTCTCGATCATCAGTCGAATAACTAGTCGGCCGGCTATATCAAAGTCTTACATTCCTACGTCTCGAGCACTGACTAAGCGCTGCATCAGTATTCGCGCGAATCCTACAGGAGCCGCTATCACGAACAATCAACAACTCCGTACCGCCACGACCAAGTCTGCGGCTACATCTGAAATTCACAGCTCAATATTTGCTCCTTTGGATACTTTCCCTTCCCGCCATGTGGGTCCTCGCGATGAAGACATCAAATATATGTTGAAAACCCTTGGCTTCGAGTCTCTTGATGATTTTGTTAATGAAGTCGTACCCGACTCGATTCGAATGAATGAGCTCAACAATGAAGAGCTCCCTGTTCTGAGCGAGAGCCAACTATCTAAGCGTGCAGAAGAGTTGTCGAACAAAAACATCTTGGCAAGAAATTACATTGGAATGGGATACTCGAATGCCGTCATGCCGCCTGCGATTGCTAGAAATGTGAGATACTCATTTTATACAATTGATTTTTAAAAATGCTTCTGATTTTACTTACTAGCCTTCTTGAATTTTCAACTTTGGATCAGGTCCTTGAAAATCCCGCTTGGTACACGAGTTACACTCCCTACCAGCCTGAAATATCTCAAGGCAGATTGGAGTCTTTGATCAATTACCAGACGATGATCAGCTCGCTCACCGGTTTATCAATTTCTAATGCATCATTATTAGACGAAGCAACTGCTGCCGCTGAAGCTATGACACTTTCTTACAATCAGTTGAAGGGAAAGAAAAAAACCTACCTTGTCGATCGATCTGTGTACCCTCAAACTATGGCTGTTCTCCGTAACCGATCAGGTCCTACAGGCATCAATCTTGTGGTCGGAAACATCAAAAAAATCCTGGAAGGCTCCACAGAGCACGATCGACAGCTCAAAGCCGACTGTTTCGGAGCGCTCCTCCAATATCCTGAGCGACGAGGAGACATTACAGACTGGGCATCCGTTACTGAGCAGATTCACGAACTTGGCGGCTTAGTCACTTGCGCTACTGATCTTTTATCATTAACTAAGATCAAGCCCCCAGGTGAATGGGGCGCAGACATTGCGGTCGGAAACAGTGCCCGATTTGGAGTCCCTCTAGGCTATGGTGGACCCCATGCAGCCTTCTTTGCCGTCAAAGAGAGTTTGACGCGGAAAATCCCCGGCCGGTTGATCGGCGTGTCAAAGGACGCTAATGGAAAACCCGCTTATCGATTAACGCTGCAGACTCGGGAACAGCATATCCGCAGAGATAAAGCTCTTTCCAACGTATGCACTGCCCAGGCATTATTGGCCAACCTGGCAGCGTTCTACGCAGTATATCATGGACCACACGGTCTTTCGAAAATTGCCGATAAAGTTCACGCCTTCACTCAAGTTTTAGAGGCTGGTTTGAAAAAGTTGAGCTACGAGATTGTTAATGAGAGTTATTTTGATCGGTTGACAGTCAACACTTCTCGAATCGCCATGAAAGTTGTGATGAGTGAAGCCGAGAAACGTTTGATAAACCTACGATCTCCAGACGAATTCCATGTAGGAATCACTATAGACGAGTCTCATTCGATTGATGATCTAGTCAAGCTCCTAAATCTCTTTGTAGACTTGAACGACATGACATTCAACAACCGGAGATCGGCAGCTGACCATCACTTTACGGCTCAATCCGTCCTTGACTTGGCTAAGTCCTTGAAGCTCGACACTATCCTTGAGCTACCTACTAGCAACTCCATCAATGCATCCTCTTCTAAGCCGACTCAATCTCCCGTGCGATCTGTTGTTCCATCTCCAATGCAGAGACAGAGCAAATTTCTAGAGCACAAGGTTTTCAATTCGTACCACTCCGAAACAGCCCTGATGCGATATATCTACTCCCTTCAAGCTAAAGATCTGTCCCTCGTTGACAGCATGATCCCGCTGGGCTCTTGTACTATGAAACTGAACTCGGCAAGCTCGATGATGCCATTAAGCATGAAGAAATTCAGCGAGCTACATCCTTTTGCCCCCGTCCATCAAGCCAAAGGATACTTGGAAATGATTCGCGTGAGTTCACACTATAGATCGCCAGCTTCAGTTTCCCTCTACCTCAACAATTTTTCTCTCCCTCACTAACACTCCAATGCGTTTGATCAGGAATTGGAAGAAGACTTGAGTAGGATCACTGGCTTCCCGGCAATCAGTCTTCAGCCCAATTCGGGAGCTCAGGGAGAGTACGCCGGCCTGTCCGTCATTCGAGCCTATCATCACGCCCGAGGTGACAAACAACGAGAAGTATGTCTGGTACCTGTCAGCGCGGTGAGTGTTCCATCATCCTAAAACTAGTGAAGAAACTGGACTTACCATTGCGATACACGTGATAGCATGGCACCAATCCAGCCTCTGCTGTGATGGCCGGAATGAGAGTAATTTCGATCAAAACTACAAATACTGGCGAACTCGATTTGGTGGATTTGGAAGCAAAAGCTTCAAAGCATGCTCATGAGCTGGCAGCAATTATGATCACCTACCCTTCAACCTTTGGGGTTTTCGAACCAAATGTAGCAAAGGCTTGTGAGATTATTCATCGATATGGTGGTCAAGTATACCTGGATGGTTAGTTTTAACTTTGCCCAGTTTCCTTGAAACCTGTCTTCGACGAAGATTGACATCGTTTCCATACAGGTGCAAATATGAACGCCCAGATTGGACTCACTAATCCAGTCAAATGCGGCGCTGATGTTTGCCACTTGAATTTGCACAAGACCTTTGGAATGTGAGTCATTCGGTGTGGTCGTACGTCTGCGCTATGTACTCACACTGTTACATTCTTGTGTTGAACTAGACCTCATGGTGGTGGCGGTCCCGGTGTTGGACCAATTGGAGTAGCCGGTCATTTGGCAAAGTATCTTCCGGGTCATCCACTCATCAAGACAGGTGGATCGGAGGGCATTGAACCTGTTACATCCGCTCCATGGGGCTCTGCTTCTATTCTTACAATCTCATGGGCGTATATCAAGATGCTAGGAGGAAGTGGCCTCACCTTGAGGTTTGTCAACTCTATTTCCCGAAGTATCCATCTCGTCTTTGTAAACAAACTCATACTTTTTTCTTTCGCAGTTCTAAAATTGCTCTTCTCAATGCCAACTACATGGCCAAGAGACTCCAAGATCGCTTTGAAGTAAAATACAAGAATGCACAAGGCAGGTGCGCGCACGAGTTTATGTAAGTGCACTTTTCTGTTTTACAGAATCCCGCTTTCCAGTAAAAACTCATCAGAGCCCCCTCCCGAACAAACCAATAGACTGGACTTTGCCGAATTTGATAAGAAAGCTGGAATCAAAGTCATGGACGTAGCGAAACGATTGATAGATTATGGATTCCATCCGCCGACCTGCTCCTGGCCGATTTCGACAGCAATGCTGATAGAACCCACTGAATCCGAAGATTTGGCCGAATTGGATCGTTTTTGTGATGCGATGATCTCCATCAGACAAGAGATAGATGACATCATGGCTGAGGGTTCCAAGCTGAAGGAAACGAACGTCATCAAAAATGCACCTCATACAATTGAAGATTTGACGATGAGTGAAGAGGAATGGGCCAGCAAGCGGTCGTATAGTAAGGTTCAAGCTGTTTATCCGGTCGACAGCTTGAGGAAGAGGAAGTTTTGGCCTAGTGTGGCCAGAATTGACGACGCTTATGGTAAGCTTGGTTTTCCGATTGATCTTCCATCAAAACGATTGGTGTGATTGACAATTTAAATTTTTTCTACGTGCCATCCAGGTGATATGAATATTTACTGTACATGTCCATCGACAGAGGAAGTAGCTGAGAACTAGAATAGCAACATGTTAATATCTCAGCCGCGTTTCATCTTCATGATCCTGTCCCCCCCGCGCCTGACCCGAGATACCTGTTTATGTGATTTTGTTCAATATTTGTGATCCATCTAGATTTTGATAGAATGTGCATTTTTTACTCCTTTTCTTATAACTTTTTCTGAGTTTTTGTCATTAGTATGCCTCCTGTTCAGTTTTCAACATATGTACCTTTTTTCTTTTGTGGGGGGAGAAGAGTGGTATCGGCAATTCAACTTGTCCCGAGAACGCGTTTTGGTTGGTGTTCTGGTGTTGCCTATTGAGCTCAAAGTGCAATTTGTGATGCGTGAATCAAGATTGTCACTATCAAAGCGCGAGATCAAGATGAACACCAAGATCACGAAACTATATGGCATCAACTTACCCCACAGAGTAAGGGTTATACCGTGTGAATATGGACGCAGACCAAGAGGGTATAGTATCTCTAGAGCTCTGATTGACGTTGTCAGGTGCTTCTAGGGCCTTGAGTTTGAGATCTGTGATCCAAATACTCAAAATTAGAATTTTGAACAATCATGCAAAACTTGGCTGTTGATTTAATCATTCATGTGGCGACTTACAAGACGATGTAGGGGTATTACAGCAAATTTAGATCGACACCAAGACAACAACGCTAACAAGACAAAAAACTACTACTAAAGGTGAAATGGACATGATACAAGTACAATTTCGAAGGAATAATAACTTGCTTTGATTGCATGGCAATGATTCAGAAGAAGAGGCTTAATGAAAAGAACTTGATCTCAAAGTAAGAAATATACTGTCTCAACTTTACGCGTCAGCGGTGGTGGTGCCTGTCTTAGGGGTAGCGTCAGGAGCGCCTGTTTTGGGGGTAGCGTCAGGAGCGCCTGTTTTGGGGGTAGCGTCAGCGGCGCCTGTTTTGGGGGTAGCGTCAGTTGAAGCTGTCTTGGAAGTAGCGTCAGTTGAGGCTGTCTTGGAAGTGGAATCTTTCTTGGGTGCAAACGCCTCCATGCCCTTTTTGATGTCTGCGAGCATTTTGTCTCTTGCGGCCTGGAGCATTGTTTCCATTTCTTTGCATGCATTGGGATCCGCAGCGGCCGGAGCTGAAGTTGTGGCATCCTTAGAAGCTGGTGCATCCCGACGGTTTAAGCTTCTAAATTGGATCTCATCAGTCTCAAGATGGAGAACACATCAAGGTGTATGATAGGACTTACTCAATATCTATTCTTTGCGTGAGCTTAGATCGGCGCGCAACTCCCGAAGCTGCGGGCTTTGAAGCTGATGCAGAAGTAGAGGATGGTGTAACTGGTCCTGCTTTTGGTAGAGTAGGGCCACCATTCTTGCTCATGGCTTCAAAGTCCTTCATTCGCTTCACAATTATAGCGCACAATTTGGGATCCTTGATAAGTGGTGATGTTTGTGGGGTAGGAGCTCCGGCGGTTGATTTTGCAGGTGCATCGGTTGATGCTGCAGGGGTAGTTAGGGAAGCGTCGGCGCGGGCTTGAATTTCTGCGCGAACGTTCAAAGCATCTTGTCCTTGGGATCGTGCCAAACAGGCGGCCAAAAGCACAAAGTTAAGGACAATGAAGGATCGCATGATTGATGTTTCTGTGAGGTCGGGTAGACTTGGAAGGATGACAGTTATCGAATAAGAATGGACTATTGAAGGTAGTATCACTAGGAAAAGGAAAAGTAGTATGTAGAAAAATAAAAGCAAAAAACTAAATGGCCGAATCAATCAAGCGAGAAGTATATACAAAGATGAATCAGGTGATGTAGGGTGCTTGAAAATAGCAAGAGACGGAATCGGACTCGACCTTTATAAGTTTTCTGTCTTCTCACCTTACTGCAAAGGTTATTCCAGTCGGTGTTGCGCCTCGTCCAATTCTCGCCCCAACGATGGGTCGGCTAAGGGTAGGTCATGATGACAGGGTAAAATTGCTCGAGGAGGGATGGAAATCAAGCTTCTTGGAAGACTATCGAGATGGCGACTACAGCAGCGAGCATAAGGATCCTGGCCTCCGTGGCGGTCATCCGGGGAGGAGCTGAGCAACACAATCGACACCCGTCAAGATCATCGGTTCCTGGCATAGAATCCAATGCCAAGTTGATAGTGCCTCTCGAGTCTTCGAAGGTGTCAGTGACATAGGTAAACACTAATAAGGGAAGTGCCAGTAACGGGCATACGGCGCTATTATGATGCGTGCAAGAACGAGCTCACATCGTCAATGGCAGTCGAATGCTCGACGAAGCAGAAGCAGGCAGAAGGCTCGTCAATTTTGATGAACAGGGCTGAAGAGTGAAGTATTCCTGACGAGAATTGCTTCACACTGGTGGCCAAAGGCACGACAGCACGACGTCATCGAGTTCAATCGAGACCCGAGACACGGTGGATGAGAGCACAGGCGGGGCCAGGAAGTGATCCGGCTTTCACTTTGACAGTTCTATGCCTCATTATCTCATACATACACCTCAAGTTCAAATTATCATAACTCAAGATTTAAAGCTAGACATCTCAAAAAGAAATACCATTATCTCAATTTTCAAAAACCATCCCTCCCATCCTACAACAAGAAAACAAATCAAGAGACCAAGGTAGCTACTCTAAAAGTACACTTTGAGAAGAGTATCAATATAAGAGGGAATTGAAAACAAATCCAAAAAAACAGTAAAACAGAAAGGGCCAAATAAAGATAAGAATGAGTAAACATGAGGGTAGAGACTTGTTTTGGCTCTCATGGGCCACCTGCCCACCCTTGCCCACAAAAACATATCTATGAAGGGCAGTCCACAGCCTACACCTCTTTCACACCAGGTCAAAGCCTTCAAAAAAGGATTTTGCTAAACACCACCATAAATCCAAAATTTTAGGTGCTTTCAAAACAAGTGCATACCCATGTGTATCCCACAAAATGATGCCTAAAGTTCAGGGACTGGCGCTGAAATCTGCAATGTAGGCGCCAAAACTTCTCAAAAAAGCGCCTACGACGAGATTGGTGCTTTACAGCCATTGCAAACATCTTTTCAGAGCATTTTTTGACTTGTGATTAGGATATGGAAGGGAAGAAAAAGAATTTTCAGTTTCAATTTGGATATTGGAGGAAGGAGGAAGCATCTTGAGTTGCAATTAGGAGATTGGAGGACAGAAAAAGAATTTTGAGTTGTGATGAGGATATTCACAGGGGCTAAAATGGACACTCACATAGGGGTGAGCATAGCTCACTTTCCTGAATTCTTCAAGAAAGGTTCTTTTTCTTTCTTTTTCTTTCAGTCTGAAACTTTGGTCATGTTCAGGTGATCAGCCTGTTTTACTCATATTTTGCCTCACAATTCTGGAGGAGGCTCATTTCCATCTTGGATGAGCATTTCTTGACCTCAGATGAGTACTCAGGATGCTCATGAGTCACTGAATACTCAGAAATTTATCCAAAATGAAAATGAGCAGATCATGAACTATACCTTCCTCAGGCTTTATTTCTTAGTGAATAAGCCTGCACAGTAATGCACCAACCCGGCCAGCAAAATCCGGGTCAATACCCGGACCAGGACCGGGTTGGTCGGGTCTTGTCCGAACTTCAATCAACATTGGGCTGACCCGGTCCCGCCTGCTCATATGGGCACAGGGCAGATTTTAGTGAAATCATCCATGCATTTTGCAAAAAAAATGGCATCATAATGTTATATAATCAGGTTTGGCTAGACCATTTAGGGAAATCTGAGGCTTCTGGAAAGGTATTTGAAGCTGATACCTGAAGTTGGCCATATAAATAAATGATTTGAGCCAAACCGGTATCAAATTTAGGGGTGGTTGGATTTGTTAGCGGCACACATCAACATTGGGCTACCGGACCGGCAACGCCGAGACAGCAACGCAACGCAGCGTTACGGGGCAGGTTGCGTGTTGCGTAACTGTATCCGTTATCAGGAAATTCCTCAAAATGCTAACGCTGCTCATTAAGTTGCGCTAGCCAATTTTGCGTAACTGATTAGAAATTTCGCCGCTATCTCACATTGATAACGTAACTCCTAGAGTTACGTTAACGCTACTGTAGCTTGATAACTGGTAAAAAATTTCTTCAACATCCAAAAATATATACATACGATAATGAAAAGAGACTGTAGAAGAGTTACTAAATAGAATCAAAAAGACTTTTCAATTAAAAAGGTTTACAACTATAGAATACAACCAAATTTAGTTGTAATGAGGTCACATGAAATCGTTTACCCTAATATGTTCCACATATTGAGAAATTCATTGCCTAGAGGAACCCCCTCGACTGACCACATCTGGGTTGAGACCGACCTCTAAATAGTTATGAATGTATCCTTTGTTCTAATGAAATATCATATTTCAGATGCAAGAAAAAAATCCTCTGATCCATCTCAATAATCTAAACAGATTAGAAAAGAAAGACTGGTATGATCTCTTGACCGAGTTGTCTTCGTGACAATGAAATAGATCAGTTGTTGAGCCTGTCATGATCCAAGTTTTCCATTTTGTTATCTGCTTTCGCGCACACATTCAAAGACTTGTGCTTGTGATCAATTAAACAAAAGTCTATAATACATAGAGCTGAAAGTGAGCCTAATGAGCTCAAGTGAATGATGTGATAAAAATATGATAGTCTGAAGAACAGATATAATTAAAGTCCTGCTCTTGGTCGATCAAAGTCTAAAAGAGTCTAGAGTTGATCGATTGGAAAATTGTTCAAAGCAATCTTAGGGTGATCAATTGGATACCAGATTTACCGACATCCTTTATAAGAATTTCAAGTTGGATATCATCCTTGATTAATCCAACATCAGTGTAATTTGATAGGTCAAAAGCTACATGAAAGGCGACCTGGATGCTAGCTTATTAGAAGCTCAACATCGGGGGAAAATCAGGGTGAGAACCTAGCATCCTGAGTTATAATCTAAGAACACTTGAAAGTTGAGAGCTCGCCAGTGCTATAGGTATCATTTGGGGCTTGTATAGGGATTTGAGAGCAGGTCTGACTCTGTATTCAAGGGTTGATTTAGCAAAGGTCAAAAGGAAGGAAAAAACCGGCTGGATGAAAGTCGAAGGAAGTTGAACTCACCATCAGCGGAATCAGGCCGTGACCACCTCCCCTTGCGTCCATCATGCGACACAATTGTTCTGTATTGGGTGGTAATTGGTGGTGATGTTGTTGAAAGGGGCCGATGGAGAGGCCAAATGGGGAAACATCAGCCCCTGTGTTCCGTCATGCGCAACAAAGTTACTGTAACGGGGTGCGGGGCTGTAACGTAACTCAACATAAAAATCCCCGTTACCCAAAAGTGTTAACGTAACTCAAAAAAAAAGAGCCCATTACAAGTATCTGCCAACGTAGCTCTTTCTAGACACGTTAAGCTAACAGATAACGTGACACTTAGAGCTACGTTAGTGTTACGTTAGCGTTATGGCGAGCGTTGCTGTCTCGGCGTTGGGACCGGGTTGACCCAGTTTTGGATACTGTGGGCCCCAGGCAAGCTCAGGATCTCCGGGTTGAGACCGGGTTGGTGCATTACTGCACAGGGGCTGTTCCATCTCAGCTGCTCAGCTAAAACTCAGTAGCATCCCTTGGCCGGATCAAGTACGGGCCAGAATTTCCTCAGACTTTCTTGCTAAGGAATGAAGCCTGACAAAAGAGCCAGCCCATCTGCTCAGTTTATTTCAGCCGTCAGCTAACCCTAAGTGGTGTCCCCTGGATTGAGCTGTTCACACAATCAACAGGAACTTAGCAGATAAACTAGGTCTTCCTCAGGCTTCATTCCTCAGCAAATAAGCCTGAGGAAGGGCTGGCCCATCTTCTTGGCTAATCCTGAGCGGCATGCCCCTGTTGAGCAGGCTCCAAGACTCTACTGAGAATTAAATGAGGGGCTGAGATGAGCTGAGCAGCCTCTCAGTTGAGCATCAGTGAAATCCTTTGGATACTTCTTATCCTCTGAATGCCACTGAGGATTAGCTGAGCAGCTGGGATGAACTGAGCAGATGGGCTTTAGGATTTATTCCTGAGCCAAGAAGCCTGAGGCAAGGCTGACCCACTGTGATGCATCCAAAGGATGCTGTTCAGGATTATCTGAGGGAATGCTCAGTTCATCTCAGCCTCTGAGCAAATCCTCAATGGCATCCCTTGAAGCCTACTCAACAGGGGGATGCCGCTCAGGATTGCCTGAGCAGATGAACTAAGCCTTCTTCAGGCTTTGTTCCTTAGCAAAGAAACCTGAGGAAGGCTTAGTTCATTTGCTAAGTTCCTGTTGATCATGTAATCAGCCAACAAGCAGGAAGAAATATGAAAGAAAAGGGAAAGAATTTGGTAGTAGATTTGAACAAATGTTGGAAAAAACACAAAAATTTCTATGCTCACCCCTATGTGAGCATCTATTTTTGCCCCTGTGATTGAAGGACATAAAACCCTTTTTGAGTTGCAATCAGGTCATTGGAGGACAGCAAAACCTTTTTGAGTTGCAATTAGGATATGTGTAAATCAAAATGTCATTTCCATCCACCAATACCTAGAGCTTAATCACAACTCAAAAGGCTTTTTCCATCCTCTGATATCCTCATTGTAACTCAAAATACTTTTTCTGTGCTCCAATATCCTAATTGCAACTCAAAATGCTTTTTCCATCAGCCAATATCTTAGTTGTAACTCCAGATCTTTTTCCGTCCGCCACTATCCTAATCACAACTCAGACTGCTCTGAAAAATTGTTATAAATGGCTGTAAAATACAAGTCTTGATTTGTACTGTAGACGCTCTATCGTGACCAAAGGTTGATGTAGGCGCTTTTGTGTAGCACCTACATATGCAAAACCAAATGTATGAACCTTGTTTAGTGCCTACATTCTCAAAAAGGGATGTGGCCGCTTTTTCAAGAACGCCTACACATTTGGATTTATGGTGGTGTTTAGCAAGAGCCTTAAAAAAGGGAGAGACCTACATAGAAACTGCTTGGAAAAAGAAAGATCAGTGTTCATAAAGTGCAAACTAGACATGTCACTGTCCAAAGATTGACAGTCAAGGTCAGATAATTGAATTTACCTGTTGGATCTCTGCTGACTCTGTCTACAGGTAACTCAATTCAAGAAGAATATTGTCCATAACAGTTCTAAATAAATAAGCAAGCCAATGTTTTATGAACAATCCTCAACATTGTTAGAAATCTAAATGATGATGTCCACAACATCACAAATCAAGATATTTATGATTTACATCCATGATTATGTACTATGGGGTTGATAAATCAATTTAATGTCAGCTCAATGGAACTTGAAGACCAGCATACCATGAATAACAGGATAATCACACAGGGCCTTGGATGGGTAGTATCCGTATGAGGTACAAGAGAGGTTGTGTTGGTCCATGCACTTGGAGATCCCAGGCTATCTTGGAGAGCAGACCAGATAGTAGCGTACAGGTGTGTGCGCTGGATCCGCCCTCGAAAATAGGGAGAAGAAGATCATGTCATTCTGGAAGTACCAAGGGCAAGACCTTTCCTAATAAGGAAGGGTCTGATGTCCTCAAGATGATCCTCCTTTTCCCCCCATTGTTATTTTCTCTTCTTGCCGTAGGAATCTCTCTCAGCTTCAGACTCTTCTGAAGCCTTCCCTGATTCCCTTGTCCTGTTTGATCCTCTGACCCCCCTACTCTGTATATGTTCTGGACAGAACAAACCAAGGTTCTCAGTTCGGGGTTTAAGCTCACCCCTCCTGTTTCTGTTCCATCTTCCAGGACTTGTGTCCTCTTGTGTTGGTACAAAGCCCTCTGGTGGTGGTACATAGCCCTCTGGTGGCTCATAGGTGATTCTGGCGTTTTGAAGCCAGTATCTCTAGAGTCCTTCAAGGACTGTGTTCCTTACCCCACACACACAATGTTTTGTCGTGTGTACATAAGGAGATATCAACATGTATACTTATGTTTAGAAGAATTTATTTACATGCAATTTAAATAATATAATTGTGCTGAAATAAATTCCTCTTTCTTCCCAGGAAAGCCTCCACAAACGTAAAAGGGAATGGATCTCAGATCTAGTAGATCTAGGTAACTTTGTAGAATCTAAATTATCATTGGAATATCCAATGAATAAAACCAATTTGACCATCAGAAACCAATCATTTTATGATCTTGATTAATATGTGTTGTTATTGCAATTTTTACCAGGTTATCCACTTAGAAAAAGATAAACCATGATGGAGTTGCTGCAAGGAGTTATGGCATTCTAAATTTAAATTGATGTAAACACAATTATTAGTGGGGTTTAAGCTGAAGAGATACCCAAACTGCAACTGTCCTTATATCAGAATACTAATTGAAAATTTTGGATTTTGAAAATACTATCAGAATTCCCCAACTGAGAAGCACATTTGTCGGGATCTTTTTTGGAAAAGATAAATTTTGAAGGGCTGAGAAGCCAAAGTGCATAGAGCTCAGGCACTTTTTGGCCAACTTGAAGTTGAACCCTGCTGATAGCTTGGTAGTCCATAATAACTTATATAATGTTGGCAACATCAAACAGTAGAGGCATTGGGTATATTGGTGATTTACTTCATTTTTATATATGTGTAGAATGATGGCTATCAATCGGAATCTTGATTATCATTTTACAGCTGATGAAGAAAGTGAATTCTTCAAAATCAAGACAATGCCAATGAGTCCTTGGGACCCGCTGAAGTCTGTGACATACTTTGCTTGGCATTTGTTTGGACGGCCCCTCCTAGCCCCTCCTTATGATTACAAAGTCTTATTGAAATTGCATGATTGTGGGGACAGCTCAAGAATGTTTCTAGGATCAATACCGAGCCATTCTTCTGTTTTGCTTCTTTTTCTATCTGACCACTCACCTTGAACTTTCTTCGGCACTTTATGCACCAAAATTTTGGACCAAAGTCAACATTTCAGGCAGATGAAATGTGAACTACATAGACAAGTTGCTACAAAAAAATCTATGTGGTAATAGGGTTTGGGCAAAGTGGAATTTTGCAAAAAACTTCTGCGTTGCTTTTGTGATTCATGGACTTATAATATGGTGACTAAAATGACATTATCATACTATTACAGAGGTTATATTCGACAGAGACATAACAACACTATTGAGAAAACACTGCTTTGACTGGTGAAATCTAGAGGGCATGATACAAACACAATGTTGAAAAAGTAAGAAATTGCTTTTGAAGTTTGAGTACATAGTAAGAAGAGTCTTCTTGAGAGAACTTCTCAGAGTAAAAGAGATACCAGATCAAGAGTCAGCGTCGGTGGAGCCAGTTTTTGGGGTAGCATCAGTAGGATTTGTTTTTGTCTCAGTAGATCCTGATTTAGGTTTAGCACCAGTAGGGCTTTTGGAGGGTTTAGCATCAGTGGGGCTGGTTTTGGGGGTAGCATCAGTAGAGCTCGTTTTGGGCGTAGAATCTTTCTTGGCTCCATCCGGCTGGGGTGCCGGCATACCCTTTTTCATGTCTGCTTGCATTTTTTCTTTTGCGGCCTTGAGCATAGTTTCCATTTCTTTGCATGCATTAGGATCTGTAGTTGACGAAGCTGGCGCGTCCTTATTGCCCGATGAATCACGGCGGTTTATGCTACTAAAGAAGAGTTCATCAATTTGAAGAAGAGCATCTTGATTTTGTGGTAGGGCTTACCCAATATCAGTTCTTTGTGCCAGCTTCGATCGACGCGTAACGCCAGATGCCAATGGTTTTGGACTTGAGGAGCTACCAGAGGGTGGGGCCGGTCCTGTTTTGAGTGAAGGAAGACCACCATTCTTGGTCATGGTTTCGAATTCCTTCATTCGCTTCACAATTATAGCGCATAACTTGGGGTCCTTGACAGTCGTGAGTTGTGGTGGATGATGAGAATCACCGTTTAATTTTGCCTGTCCATCGGTAGATGTTGCCGCGCCATTAAGTGGGGCAGCGTCGGCTCGGGCTATCAAGCTACTTGTTTAAGGTGGCGAGAAAGACAAACAGAAACATTTCATTAAAGGGTTACTCGGGAGTTCTTCCGCTATCGGCTTGTGCTTGGGGGCTCAATGCAAAGACCGCTCACGATGATGGGACTTGAACTTCTCCCCGAGATTTCAAAGCTTCTTGTCCTTGGGATAGAGCCAAACAGACGCCTAAAAGCACGAAGTTGACGGTGATGAAGAAACGCATGTTGATTGTATTTGTAAGGTCGGGTAGACTTGGGTGAGTAATTGAGAATCGAAGCTTTTGAATAAGAAAGAACAAGTGATGGCAAGATCACCAAGGGAAAAAAGTAGAAAGGTGAAGACGACAAAAGACCAGATGGCTGAATCGATCTATGCCGAATAGGATCTTTGCGGAAACAGGCGATATTTGTATACAAAGATGAATCGAACGATTTAGGTTGATGGAAGCTTTAACTTTTCACAAATCTAAGCATACTTGACCTTTATACGTGTGCAGTCTTCTCACTTCACCTCAAATGTCATTTCAGTTGGTCTTGCGTCACGCCCAACATTCAATCAAACCGTGGCTAGGCAGGGTCATATGAACAGGGTAAAGTTGCTCGATGAGGGATGGAATTCAACCTTTTGGGAAAACTATCGGAATGACAACCGCATAGTGGGTTTTCGGATCCTATCCTTCGCGGCGGACATTCAGGGAGGAATAAGTCCCGACGCGACCTTACGCAGTCAAGCTTGAGGGAGGAGATGGACATCACAATCAAACCCCTTCAGTTTTTCCGTAGTTTTGGTATGACATACAATGCCAAGCTGACGTTGTCTCTTGAGGCTTCGAAGATGTGTCAGGGAACACAGTCAGCTTTGAGAAGGAAGACTTCACGTATATCTCGATAGGCGGTACTATGATGCTTAATTGGGAGCGCTCGTCAATTGACAGTGGCGCGGCACCATGCTCCAGGAGGGATGCATGTTATCTCAGTGGGACCGCGGGTCCAGCTGGCATCAGACCTATCGACTTTTCTTCGCGAACTGATCAAAATGTCATGTCACAGCTTAATTGTGAAAGGCCAGATCATCAAATTTATCGAGTCTCAGAGATTTTATCATCCGACTCAAAAGTTACTCTGCCCACATGTGCTCAAATCAAAATACACATAATATTTATATTGAGATAAATAAGCAGGCAAATGTATTAACCAGCCTACATAAGATTTACCAGCCTATATAAGATGGGTATAACTCGACACGAAAACGTCCATATCACTACAAATCAAAGATACTTATGTTCTGAAAGAATGCACTATCGTGGTTCAATAGAAGACAAGCATGTTACAAATGATAGAAAGACTACACAGGGTTTTGAACTGGTTCGATAATTTGACCAGGGTATGACAAGACCTGAGGACGAACAAGATGACGATGTTGGAGATTAGTATTAAATTCAGGTCCAAGAGATTGTCTTAAACTATGTTCATGTTGAGATTTAGATGTAAATGGAAATGGTAAAGTCTTGGTTTGATATTTTGTAACCTTCTTCAAATGTTTCTTTTGAGAGATGATTACATTTGATAATTTTGCATCTGATCTTGATTCGGGATCTATACCTGGAATCTTCTTGATAAACTTTTTAGAATGTTTTGACTTTCGTGCTCCTTTTCCTACCCAATCACCCTATTTGAAAAAATAGAACAAAAGTTTATAAGATGTAAGTTTTTACAAAAGTGAGACCAACACAGAGGAGACATCGGATGACAAAAGACAATCGTACTTACCCAACCTGGGATAGTGACATCAACCTGCTGAGGTGCGTCCGACTCGACTTCTTTTCGTTTTTCCTCTTCGAATTGAGCTACTACGCCATCGTCTGCAAAGGCTTCACTGACCAGCTCCCGTTGTTGAAACACAGTACGACCTACACCATCCACCGTATCACGTCGAATGATCGCATCACCTTCCTTTCCCGGTTTCCCTTCATTCTCCATCGCTCCCAACGCGCTCGGTCCCGCAATGGATCGGGGGACCATAAATGATTCAAGATCGATAGCAATCTCAGCCTCGTTTTGGGCGTTTAGTACTTCGGTTTTGTTTTTACGTTTTTGCTTCAAAGCCTTCAGCTTAGCTTTCTCAGCAACGATCGTGGCCGAATCTTTGCCATGCTTCGGATTTAGAGTTTTGATATGTGAAGTAGTCCCCCCAGTTGCGTCGTCAAGTGATAGCCATGGATTGGATTCTTCTGAAGTGACATGCAAAGGTTTTGGAGTTTTAGAAGTCGGAACTGCACGTTGAGAGGCAGTGTTCACAGGCGTCTTGGTGGCTGTGGTCGATCCTGAAGCACGAGCATGTTGCTTGTTTGATGAAGTTGCACGTGATTGATTTGGCTGAGGTGAAGCATTTGAGCCTTCGGCGGTTTCCTGCTGTGCGATGACGGTTTGTTGCTGCACCATAGAAGACTGTTTGAAAAGCAAGGTGGTGAGTCGCCAGAAAGACTCAGAGATCGGTCACACAATTATTCAAGTACTCACACTACCAGGAGTGAAGACTAATCTACCAGGATTACCCTGTACTTTCATTCCACTCTGCTCATCATCCGAAGCATCGTCCTCTGCATTGATCAACGCTTTACGCAATTGTGCCTCAGCTTCATTAGCCTCCCTTTCCTTCCTTGCCATAGCAGTTTGCATAAACTTCATTCCTATCAACCCTTTTGCTGGGGCCTCAGATTTTGCTGAGTCTAATGCTGAGAGTTCATTCAATGCCCGTTTCTTGATCGTATCCACGTCCATATCTGAATCATAATCTGAATCATCATCAGATCCGTCTGACTCGCGATCTCCTTCGCCTTGACCCGCAATCTTTTTTGTCAAGAGTTCCTCCCGTCTGATTCTTTCCCGAGTTGCATGATTAGCGTCATTACCGAGTCCTTTGAGTCCCGCGACCTTCTTGGCCCATTTTCCTTGACTTGAATGCTTTAATGAAACCCTTTCCTTCGCTCGTTGAAGTTCCATCTTTTCTCTCTCTGCCTTCACACGCTCACCACCATCGATATCGTCTAGCTCTTGTAAAAAGTCCATGTCCAGCTCACCCCCTTGCTCTGCAATACTCTGACGGGTCTTCTCTCGTTTGTGAATTCTTCGAAAGGCTTTACTTTTGATCTTGGCGACACGCTTTGACTTTCGTTCAGCTCGAAACATCAACTCTCGTGCCATTTTCAATTCAGCCGCACGTTCTTTGATTTGTTCAGCTGTCAAACCCTTGGCTTGCAAGAGATCGTCTTCTTCTTCCTTCAGCTTTTTAGATGACATTTTACCGGCAGAGAGCATCCCAAGAACTTCAGTTTCTAGAGAATTGGTTGGTTTGAAATGCATATTCCAACGATTCACATCGAGTTCTTTGGTCTTGGGTGCACTGGCCGAAGGCACTACAAATCGGTTCTTGCCATCCGTGTGCTTCCCGGATAAACCACGAGCGGCCATGATAGTTTCGTTCCATTTATCCATTTCGACTTTTGTTAAATCGTAGGCCGCTTCACGTTCTATCTTCTGTTGAAGGCGGGGTTCGAGGGGGGCCGAAAGTGGTGCTGATTTGTCACTTTTCTTAGTCAAGTATCTCAATGATTTCTTCAAATTAGTCACATCGTGACTGGCTGGTAAGATAGATATCAAGGACGCAAGATCAACTTTTTTAGTATCATCATCATCAATCCCAGTAAAGACTTCGTTCTCGTCCCTCGCCTCTGTTCGAGCTGGTAAAATCCTACGGCGTTTGTTTTGAGAGGCTGACAGAGCTTGATCCTCGGGGTCGATATGATCTTCCTTACGTTTAGAAGCCGAGGATTTCATAGTGTCAATCATGTTAGCCAATGCGTCTAACTTGGAGTCATCCTCTATGCCTGCAAATTCCTCTAGATCATCGAACTCCGCTAGGTCGATTTCGAGATCATCTGCTCGACTTTCGTCTTGTGAGTCGAGTTGAGAGGATCCAGATCCAGAGGAGCGGTCACCCTCTTCATCCGAATCATTATCACTTTCAGCCCCAATGTCAAGCATTTCGGATGCGTCGATGAAGTCTGGTCCGTCCTCGTCTTCTTCCTCTAGTTCTTCTTCGTCCGAGTGATCGTTCAGAGTTGAGACGTCTTCTGAGAGTGCGAATCGGACCGAAGGCTTCTTCTGTATAGTATACGAAGAACACAATAAGTAAAGATTACTTCTGGCAAGAAAAATGAACTCTTGATCAGATTTGAGAAGTTACATGCCTTTTTCTTATTCTTTGAGAGAACAGATTTCTTTATTTCCATGATATCATCTCCATCCCCCATCGCTTCATCAGACTCAATTTCTTCATCATCTTCACTATCTACAACCCCAAATCCATCTTCATTATCCTTCAAAAGATCACTCATTCTATCATCCTCATCCTCCTCATCATCATCATCATCATCCCCTAAAGTTGGTCTCTTTGAATTTGAACCTGTTAAACGATCATCATCCACTTGATTTCCTCGCATTCTTCCACCTTTTGATCGAGTATGGGTTTGATAATCATAAAGAACGTCATTTTCAATCTCATCTTGATCTTTGGTTGTTTTTGTTTTTGGCTCTGAAACTGGTCGATCATCATGAAGATGTGAATACTTGGGTTTGTTGGTAGAGCCTTGTCTACCTCGTCTGGCGCTTCTGACCATAGCTTGAATGGTCAAAGAGAGATAATCGAGTATTACGCTTTTCGAGAGAGATGTGTTGGTTTGAAAAATACGGTCACACCTGTCACACCAAAAAAATGTGGGCTGGGTTTGAATTCTGATGGGTTCTGTTATTAGCATACTGTATCTGACCTTAGAGAGCCTTATATCCGAAGGGCTGTATGTATGTGTATACATAACGATGCATGTAACAAATCAACTCATCTCAGAGACTCAAGACTCCAAAGATGCATCTTTTTTTTATGCATCTCTTCATATGAAGCGACTGACGATTGACATTTTCCTCTAAAAGATAACCAAAGCTGCGGCCTCTCTCGCAGGCTCGCTCGCCGAGAAGGACTTTGTTAGGTTAGGTGTCCTCGATGGCACGTCACCACACAAAACTCTTGCATCTTTTTCCTAGAGGAGTGCTTCCACAAAATTGATTACTATTAGAGTTTGTTCTGCAACATGAATATTTGGAGTTTTATCAAAGCCTTCTATTGTTCAAGGTATCCAGCATATTTATAAAGTGACCTGAGGTATCTTTATAAGCTTGTACTCGTTATAAGTTTCTTGACCAAGAACGCCTGGCGTTCTGAAACAGGATAGGTCAGATTAGGTCAAATGTATATTACATACGGCCTGCCCAAACGTTGGTTGAAGCAAATTATAACCTATAGAATCTATGGAGGAGGTCAGCAAACGAAAAGGTTACTATCAGTTGACCTATGGCAAAGTATGAGCAAATGTATCTTTGCACAATGGAACACTTCTTATTTTTGTCATACTTTTAACCAATAATAATGCATAGCTCAATACCTGACATTTTCAAAGAGAAGATTGAATAAATAGAGTAAGTAAGCAGACCAAACTTGTCTATGATAATGAACAGGGCCTTTTAAGGATTTCTCCTCAAGTCAATACACCAAACCAAATCAGTTGTTTATATAAACACTCCTGGTCGACGGGGATGATAAGCTTGGTTTCCGCTCCTCTGGCTGTAGGTCTTCACAGGCTGGGGATTTGGGAGCCTCCGGGTCTCTTCTACTCCAAAGCTCGCCAATGTGATTGACCCAATCACATTGACGATGACGTACTTACTAGCATGGTTTATGAAAACAAAGTCTCAATCATATCGGTCATTGATATATATATATCATGTTCTTCA